AGCTATGGTAACGAGGACAAGCTTTTTTCGTACATATCAAATATCATGCCAAATTAAACTAAATAAGTCAATAGACAGTGTATTTTCGATTGGTTCAAAGAGTTGCAGAGCAATTATTTTAAATGTGGTTTAGGGCAATTGCTTTGATGTGCCAGAAAGCTGGTTATTGGTATGGCAACCAGGGGATTGATGACGAGCTAAAACTGTTGAAGTGGTTCCGGCCATTTGGTTGCCAAGAACTTCAGCCCTTCTACAAAATTGTCCAGAAGGAACTTTAAATATTAAGCATTGTCAGGTCATAATTCAGTTTATCAAATATTTATCGAGTTACGAAGGGCGTCAACTAATTGTTTGCAAATTTCGTTTATTAAATATTAACAAACTTTCAAGCGCCTGCCATGATTTATTTATTATTCAAAATCTCTCAGAACATGAACGTTTATTAACTGAAAAAACGCAGCTCACTTTAGTTTTTTTTTGGACGCAGAAGAGCTTTCTAGAGCCCGGCAACATTTTGACTAATTTATGTGAGCACACTTCCGACGTTAGTTTAAGCCAACAAAAAGGCTGGGGAATTCTTGGCCGTTTTATTTGTGGCAATTTCACTCAATTACCACCGTTAATTCCTAGCCTCGCTTTTTTTGGCCCCACTTCATTCACCAGCTCATGGTCCATAAACCCGGGGAACATTAGGCCATTGCTAGAGAACTCTATGAGGCAGAAATCCCCTCACACTCGTCCAGGCCTCGTTAATTATTTACATGAAACATTTTTTGGCCACTTCGGTTGGCCGTTTCCTAGAGGCCGCCATAAATTTCAAACGGCCAGCCAGGCATTTTTTCCACGCTCATGTTTCATTTTGCTTCTCGGTGGCCAAACCCAGGTAATGAAATGCCATTTAGGTAAGTCGAGCGACGCTCTTGAGTTTCTACACGAATTAGTTGGAGTTAATTAATTGCCTTGGAGGAGAGGGAAATAATTGAAAGGTTAAATTGTCTTTGATAAAAATTAACTTTAATGTTCAATCAATCGCATTTTTATCCGAAATCCAATAAAAATTTCTGTAGATACCATTTCTGGTAGAGGCGGTAAACCATTTTCCGTGCCATAAAATTCAGCTTTCTGATTTCTGTAGACATAGTCATAATCAGTAAGTCAGATTTGTCAGTTTTCTATTTGTGAAATAAGAATATTATCATTGGAAAAGAAAGCAAAACAATAGCAATGGTAAACATCATAATAAAAGGAATTTATTTATGAGCAAATGTATATTGATTTATGAGAAGCCATTGTTGACTTCCCAATTTCCACAACGACTTTTGAGTTGTCAAAGGAAATTGTATATTTATTTATTTATTTTGTCAAGTTTGTTCGTTTCAAGTCATATATTTAACAGATTTTGTTTAGCGAGAAAAGGATCTAAGCTTTCTCTAGGAAATGGAAAATGTATTTCTTTTATTTCTATAAAAAGAAGCGACTTGCTTCTGAGTAAACCTCTTGGAAATGTGGAATATATATATATCTCTTCCAAATGACATTTTGAAACTCTAAAAGAGACCTCAAAGGCTATAAATTTTCAAACTAATGCCTCATGGGAGATTTCAAGGCGCTGGAGCATGGCGTTTAATCTGGAGACACAAATCTGCTGACCGAAAGGAAATCCCACCAACTACATTCTCTGACAATTGACAGTTACATGGAAAACTCGACATTTTCTTTGAGAAATCGTTGGCTGTTCGAAAAAAAAGCAATTATATGTAAGCTGAGTTTCCAGACAGACAGGGTCTTAGGACAGCTGCTGTCCCGTTGCAATATTTTGACAAAGATTGAATATACATCCCTAAGTTTGTTATTTTCAATTTTCTGCGAAATGGCCGGCAGACTAGAACATTAAGCTGATTTCCACCTGAATTATTAAGGAGTGCATTAGGCTCAGGTCTCCTACGTCTGCCATTAGATTAATTGCTGTGGCTCCTATTCCTCGATTTAATCGGCTCTACAGGAGTCTGGGAGTCATGTGTAAGTCTGATAAGTACCTTTGAGTTTGGGTTTGTGATTCACTGCAAAGTGCATTTGACAAATTATTCTCGGCTGAGTGATTTGTCTGGTTGGAAAAAGTTTGCAGTGGGTTTGAAGCTGGTGGGATATAATCGACTCTTGTAAGGGTCTTACTGATTTCCACTTAAATGTTAACTTAATATCCAAAAAGTATGTTTTACTTTCATCCAACTTGTTTTATTACGATAAAGATAAAGAAGTACATTTAGCAGAGTGCCTAATACATTAGCAGTTTCCTTCCTTTGAACATTTCTAACAACAAATGATTCCCGAAAGGCCCTTCATAAATTAGTTGCTAATCCGGGGCCATTCGTTTGGATAACTTTGCATTTGAATTCCGCCTCTGCAGATATTATTAATAAACAAACTGCTTTTGGCCTCAGACAGATTATACATACACGAGGCGGGCAATGAAGTGTGTGAGCACACAATCCCTCATCGTCGTGGTAATCAAGAGGGAAGGATTTTCGCCAGTTATTGCCAACATCACGTAATTACGTTAATGAGCCTCATTAGATGCGCACTAGCTGTACGCTGCAGCTGCAGACGGGGAGGGGAGGGTTCAGGGGAAGAAAGGGTCGTCCAAACTGGCAACAGTGACTGCTGAAAGTACACAATCCTCCAACGTCGGTTAAGTGGCACGCTCCCCTGGCTGCCAAAAGTATTTTAAAGCGCCTGCAATTAGGGGCAACGATGCCAGGTATTTATGCGGAGTACCCCTCAAAAGGGTTAAAGGCCTTGAAAGACACGACGGTTTCGTACGGGGGTTTTCGCTCATATTTCCCATTTCGAGTGAACCGAATCCGGCTGGCAGGATGTTGCAATGATGCAATATTCCAGGACGACTGCTGCTGTCAGCCCCTTGGGCACAGATGAATCAAGTTCATGGCTGTGCGGTTCAGTGCTGCCAACTATGGGCGGTTGCATAAGCCATAAGTTCATAATTAATTTAAAAGCGCAAAAAGTACAGTTTCAGGTTCATGAAAACGTTTCAGCTTAAATATGAAAATCATATAAAAACAATAAGGAAAATTTATTTTATATTAAACTGGTACATTCGTGAAGGAATCTTTCCTTAGTAATTAAGTAAAAGTGAAGTTCTTTTGATCAAAAGTTCCACTTTAGGAAAGATCTTCAATCTTCGCCACTATCTATAGAGCCTTGACTGCTCCGATTAAGACCACAATGGGACTCGATGCTCGGGCCATTTGAAGTCATGTCAGTGGCAGGAGCAGCTGCCAGCTGCCAGCTAATTGTAGTCAAACCCATTATGCAAATTATGCAGCAGGCCAGCTGCCTTTTGGCCAACATTCAAGTGGAGAAGTGGAGAGAGTGGAGAATGGAAACTGAAGATGGCATATGCCACCTCCCAAAAAGGGAGAGCCAGCTCACTGTTGCCATGGCATTGTGTTGCCTTCCCGTTGGATAACTAACTGGAATTTCCTTTCACCACTCAACACCCAAGTGCAGCTAACCTGGATGAGAGTGAATTCAAGGTCCCAGCCCTTTGAAAAGGAGCTGTGTGTGCTATGGCCAAAGTTTTTCAATCAATTTTTCATATGGAAAGTTTGAAGCAGCAGCAGGACTGTAAGAAGTTGTCAAGCCCACGGTGCGTATACTCAACAGGTGAATATATGAAAACAACCTATATTAAATTAGCATGTCATTTTATAAAGAATTCAAGGGCAATTAAAGACATTGCTTCAGCAGCTGGGGCTTTCCTTAAAGCTTTTTTTCGTTCAAAGAGTTTGTACACTTCGAAAAATAAAGATTACTATCATAAGATAAGTTAGAAAGTAAGAAAGTATCAAAAGAGGAGTTACTTAAATAATGGATATTCATTTTTAAGATATTTCTAATATTAAAAAGTTATACTAACTCAACACCTTACGTTTTCTTCCTGTGCATGTTGCACGGCTCTATGCCTGCAATCGTAGGCCGTTCTTTTCCCAGTCGCAGCACGTTCCAATAATGGCCAAAGTTTGGCCATTTTTTTCCATGCCTAACTGCCGTCGATAAAATGTGTTTATGAGTGCCGCAAGCTGGTCCCGCACTGCTGCATTTTATGGCCCGGCCAAAAAAGCGGCGATCTTGGTTATTCAAAGGCCAAGTTGCGAATTCATATTTAATTGAGCACGCCGAAATTAACAATGGCTGTAATAAAAGCGTAGCCAATTGTAGCTGTCAGAATGGGGCATTAATTACAAAATTGTAAACTTATTGGCGGGCAAAAGGAATAACCCGAAGGTGTGGGCTTGTAATTGGGTGAAAGTAGGCCCAGGTAGGCGTCAATTGAGTTAATTAACAGATTAAAAGGAGAACAACCTTTAAAAGGCTTAATAATTCAATGAGGAAAAGGGCGGAAATCAGGTAGGGTTGCGCGATACTAACAGATAATGAGGGGCCTTAAAAGATGATTATCTTCTTAAGTTTAAAGGAAAAGTTAAAGGGTTTTCTTCTGGCTGAACTCTGTCCGCTAAGTTTAAGCCAAGTCCCGAGTCTTGACCGCAATTAACTTGTCTTTTAGACAACCATTTCTATGGCTTATCAGCGCCAGTGCAATCTGAAGTAATCTTTTATTTTTCACAACTACTCGGAACTAGGGAAAAAGTTGGCAGCCAACATTTCTCATCTTTTGGCTGAACTTCCTTCCCCTTGCCCCACTCGTTTGGGCCATAAACTTTTGTGGCCCATTTCTCATGCTTATTGTTTTGGATTCCCTTTTCCCTCAATATATTTGGGCGAACTTTTCCCTGCGGTTGGCCGTATTTTCTGGCTAATGCAAATTAAACTTTGCTAAAATATGCCCGAAAGAGGAGTTCGTTGGGTCATTTGATTGGCCTATATTAAAAATAATTGAAAAACTTGCATAAATTGTTTAAAAATTATGTTCGTGCTTGTAATGAAACAACTTTGTTAGATTTAATTCAATTTTATTATGTGTTTGGGCCTTGCTTAAAGTTAAATACCAATCAGTGAGCTTTTCAATTCGACTTTAACATTTTGTTTAGCTATATAAAAACTTAATTACGCTCTAATAAACCTTTTTTCGCGGCACTCGACTCGACAATTGAGTAGCTTAAATCACACTTATCCGTCAATTTAGATATTGGTATAACAAACAACAATTAATCTATTATTTATGCTTACTTTCAGTAAGCAAAGTGGCAACTTTATAATATAATTAAATATATTTTAGATTTAATTCCAATTTAGTTTGGGCTAATTTAATCGTTGTAAAAGCAACAAATAATTACATTTACTCCGTGTATTCACATGTACTTATTTTAGGCTCGTGTGCTGATGATTTATGCGTGTTCATTATTAACGAGATTGAAAATATTTGTCGGGGCTCAATTGCAAATACTTCAATCATCATAATTTATGCGTTCGCTGGCCATTTGTCATTTGTCGAGGGGCTTAAGCGATTTCAATTACAGTTTTCCCAAGGGAGAGGAAAAACTGGCAAATATTTATGCATTGTTTCATTGGATTATTCGGTCAGCTGCAGTGACTGCTGGCAAATAATATTTCCATGAAATTCAGTTGACCCATGGAACGTGAGTGGATTCCCAAATGAGTTCAAGGAAAATTATAATTTCATTCACAGCCCAAATCCGATTTCCTTTCAAAAGTATTCACAAAATATTTGACTTAACTAACGCACTTCACTGCAACTGCCTTGTGTTTATCCAATGGCTGCATCAAACTTAGGCTACAAAAATATTCCTAGGACTTTCCTGGCCTTCAATTTAACCTAATTGCCATTACTAAACATACGGACATAAATGTGTGTGTGTGTATATATAGTGTGTATGTACAAGATTTTGCAAATATTCGGTTTAAATCGTTGCCAAAAATTCGTAGTTCTGAGTGAGCACGTGCATTGCATACTTATGGGGATGAAATCAACTTGAAAATGCATGGGATCAACCTCGCGTGGGAGAACTGCAAGGGCTTACCATATTTTATTTGATTTTTTCGGAATTCTATACAGTAGCGTTCAAGGAAATATAAGTGAGAAAACCTTAAATGTAATCAATTCGATTTAAAGATCAAAATATAAATAAATTTTTGGTAAAAAACAAGAAAAAGTGTAAACATTTTTATGCATCTTTGAAACCATTAAATATTACTATTATTTTGATCTCAACTGTAAGTTATATGCGCGAATTTATGCAGCGCATTTTTATAGTTCCCACTTGAGTGTGAAAAGGGGAGGAGCATAGCAAAAACCAGTGGTGCGTATGAGTGATGAGCCAGCGTTTTATTATTATTACCATTCGGGCTTAACGATTTCTCACCAAAGTATGCAAATAACTCGTGTTTAACCGGGGTCCTTACACAACTAGTTTGCTTTTTACAAGGATAACTATGCATATTATCAGAGTAACTACGTCACAATGCGAGCCTCTTCAGCGGTGTAGAGCTGGTGATCCGTGGCCCCGGTCACTTTGTCAACGACCACAACAATGGCCTGGAACTGCAGTGCCACGGGATCTGCCTCAGGCTCCACAGCACCGTTTCCGGACACAGGAGCTCCACCGTCTACTCCCCCGCCGTTGGAGGACTCCCTTCGCCTGCGCTTCAGGACACTCAGCAGGCGGCTGAGCAGGGTTCGGCGACCACGACTCCTCCTATGCTACAGATTCGTCACCTGTGTGATGTTGGTCGTCGTGGTTGCCATCACCACCTGGGGCTGCTGTCGTCCTTTTTCCAGCGCAGGTGCCACAGCCGAGCGCTCTGCTCGAGCAGCTGCCATCTCGTCCGGCGCCACCGGCAGCCATTTGTCCAGGAATTTGGGACGAAACAGCAGCGTGAACGTGGTCCGGAATTGTTTGCTCATCGAGCAGTAGAGAATGAAGTTGATACTGGAGTTGATCAGGGCCAGAATATCCATGAGGTCACCTGGGAGGAGGGTTAAATAAGAGGTAAAGATTTAAATTTGACTCGAAAAGGGCCGGGCTGTTATGTAAAATGCTAGGGAATTATTTAAAAATGAAAATTTTAATCAAATTACTCACTCAGTCTTAGGTAGCACTGCAGATAGAAGACATCTCCGAGCACGGCATTCAGCAGGCCCATAATCCCCTGTGGAAACTCGGTGATCAGAAAGAGGAGCAGCACGGCCAGCAGCATCCGAGTGGTACGATCCGTCTGCTTCTCCTTCTCCAGAGTCTTACTATTCTTCCTGGGTCTATCAGCTGCCTTACCATTGATAACCGACTTGGTCCCATTACTGGCAGCCGGAGCTACGGGCTTACTGGTGAGCTTCTTCCGCCGCCGCTTGGCCTCTAACAAGGCCAGGATCAATCTAACCGAAAGTATGGTAAGTGCAATACAGGGTATTAACTTGATCACCACGCTGTATATGAGAAATGTGGCATTCTGCAGGGATGCATTGTGCAGGGCCAAGTCACTGTGGTACAGCCTGTAAACCGTGACATTCCGCACCACTGGCGATGGAGTGGGTGGTGCAGCCGTGGTCGTCGACGTTATCAAGGAACTCACATTCAACCACAGAGTTTCATTCACTGGAGAACTACTTGGGGGCGTGGCATTCAGGGCAGCTGCCTTGGCACTCAGCATCTCATTACGATAGTCAATTACATACTGGGTCATGGGAATAGAACTGATGACCTTGCCATTGGCGTCCAACTGATCCAAGTGCTCTGTGATAGCTGTGATCAAATAGAGAGAGGGAGATACCACCAAGACACACACTACATAAGCCGTGGTTATCGTTATTATAGTGGTTCTCATTCCACACCAGACCCGATTCTTTTGCGGATAACCCACTGCTATATAACGCCAAACGGCCAAGGTAACTGTTAGCCATATCGATATGGTATGCAGAACCTGGGCGAAAATCGAATGGAACTTGATGAAACAGGCCCAACTATAGCTGAGCTTCTCCTCCCGCGGCAAGCTGTCCGTCAGGATGTAGTCGTGTATGGTATAGGGTATATATTCCAGCATAACTGCCAAATCGGCCACCGCCAGACCCGTGAGTATGGCATTCGTGGGGGAGCGCATCTCCCGTCGGGTAAGCACGATGATGTTCAAAGTATTCGCAATGGTTCCCAGGATGCAGACCACCAGCGAAACGTAGCCATGCATGTTTTTATAGCTGGAAAAAAGAAGAGATAATTTAAATTTAAATTAAACTTCAACTACAAAAATGAGAAAAGAACCCAATGGACTTCCCTCATCATAAAGAAGGTTCTTAGGTTACAGCAAAGCAGTGCTACTCGTCTCTGAAGTGTAATAAAGACACATTTTGCAATAGAGTGAGTGAGTGGTAGGCATTTGGCAAATTATGTTTCGGTTATTATGCTCTAGTTAGCCTTAACCAATTTGTTACTTCCACTCGTAGCTGGCTCTGCCTTAGCCAAAGCAGGCAATAAAACCATCCAAAAGCCATTTCCGTTGGCCTGGCAAACAGAGGCATTCGCAGCAGTTGAGGCAATAAACTCACTAGGGCCCAGGGCTTAAGCCAGCCACGCCCATGCTGCCGCCCCAACTGGGATAAACATTTTACCAGCATTTGTTTAGTTTTCGTCGAGCGCTTTGAGCCCAAAAAAAAGAAGAAAAGTGAAGGGAAACCAGGGCGAAGGATTCAAATTTCTAGCCAAAGTTTTGGGGAATTTGGCACGGGAGAAACCGAAGGAGCTCTCAACGCTTTCGTTTGGTCTTTGCCTTTTGGCATTTTGGCCCTGTTTTTAGGGGGTGAAAACCCTTTTGTGCAACTTGCAGCCAACAAATTAGACTTAGCTGAAAATTTATATGGGGATATGCGAGGCGGGACTCACAAACATGACACTTTAACGCCTGCAGGATGCAGCTCTGCGGTTGAGTGGCGTGAAAACGAAATGTTTAATAAACTCCAAGCTGCAAATGGAGTGACACGTGTGCGTCCTGCTGCTATCCTGTCGGTGTCAGGACTTTAGTTAAGTTTTTTATTGCTTTTGTACGATATTCCCCATTCACCGAGAACAAAAAAGAGGATTCCCAGCCGAATGACACTTTTATTGAAGAATCTAAGCCAAATTTGTGGGCAACTTTCTAGTCGTGTCGCCTTGGGCTTAGACTGCAGGAGGTCTTATGCAATCCGCCCAGAATTTCCATTCCGAAATCCATAGATGAGCGCTTTTTGTGCCGGAAAATGCTTGCCAGTTCGTATTAATTTGTTTGCCAACAAAACTTTTCACCGGCCATGCAATCAACTGCTGGGGGTGTGGAAAATGTCTCTATTATTTTTGGTAGCTAGAGAAGAAAAACTATGCCCAACTTGGCATGAAACTTTCGATTTTGTAGTTATGCCCTTCGTAGGGATTTCATTCTAAGCTTATGTTGTCCAGCAGTACACAGGAATAAAAAGGGTTTTACAATGACTAATCCCAGAATGTTGATTAATGATTAGACTAAGCCAGTAATTCAACCCTCAAAGGGTTTTATAAGATAATTAATGTAAGACATAGATTTTACTCTTTTCGGGAAAACATATTCAACAATGGCTTCATAATGATATGCATTTTTGCAGTGTAGCTCAGTTTGTTTTGCCTATTCTGGTCGGTTTTTGGGGTTCATTTCGACAGCTGACTATGCCTGATTTCTGGGCCAATAACTTTGAGCTAGTACCCTCCGGCCACCCTCTCTATGTTCTGGGCGAAAACAATTCCAGGACTTCATTCATGTCGTCGACGTTGTTGTCGTTGCCGCCATTCATCAACATGGATTATCAAAGGCCATAAATTAGACTCAGCGAAGGTTGGGAGTCTGGATTTTGGCCAAGGTAAAATCCGGCGACAACGAACCCAAGAATGTGTTGCAGCCAAAGTTTTGTGAGTTTGATGAATGGAGTTGTAAATTCCCCAGGAGTTGGCCAAAAAGACGAGGGTTGTGCCAACGAAAAGTGTCGCCTCCATTCGGAAAGCGTTTCAATTTCGCTGTTTTCGGGCACGTAGACACACCTCACATCCTGTTTATTTTTCCTTTATTTCTGTATCCTGTCCATCAGCATGAGAAGCCTTTAACGTGAAACGTCAGACGATGTGTGCGTATTTGTTTTATTTGTTTGGGGAATACACGGCCGCAAAAAGCGACAACGCATTTGGAAAATTAAATATTTTCCAGAAGCAATTTTACACATTTTTCGGGTCTTCGGTTTTTGGGGTTTTCGGTTTTTTACTTTTATTTATTTATTTTCTGAGCTGGCTTTTCTCTCCGGCAACCAAGAACCGCCTTTGTGCGTTCTTTATTATTTATGTTAATTGCTTGTTTTGTGCGTGTTTTGTTGCGGTTTTTCCTCAGCTTTTCGGGGCCTTTTTCGCTTTGCCATTTATATTGCGTATACGTCACGTTGCCGTCAGAGGGAAGGGTTGTTCGATGTGCCAGAGTGTGACACATTGGCGTTTGAATTGTATTTTTTTTTTCTTTGGCTTAGACTCTGGTGTTCCGATGTGCTGGCTGGTGTTCCTTTGCCGCTTGAGTGGCGCCTGGAGACGACTGAGTGGGTGGTTTTTGGGCGGTTTTGTCTGTCTGGGGCGTGACAGCGTCAAGTGTCGCCTTCGCTGGCAATTTGGCACGTCTTTGACACAAAAGTAAATGGCCAAGTGTTTGGCTACACATCTAATTGCCATACAGTCATCTTTCAAACTCCAGCTACCAGCTACCAGCTACCAGCAACCAGCTTCTACCTTTAATTAAACCGAGGTGGGATAGCATTCTGAGATGCCGTGGCCAGCCACTTTGTGGCCATTAACTCCGCCCAGACTGGCTCTAATTAAAACTAAAAGCCCTGGCCATTGGCGGAGGGTAAGTTGGTTTGGACTCAGCTACCCCAGGGTGGCCGTCTTTGCATCTGCAGAATGAATAATTCGCAGTTCACTCAGAGCACATCTTAATCATGGCAAATTAATGATCATCAATGATTTATGCGGTGATTTGGTAATATTCTTTATTTATGATGGTAAGAAAAGATCAAATGGCATTATAAACTAGGAAATATTTTTATAGGCCATCTATCAGGTCAGCTTAATATGAAGAAATTTATGAATATTTATAGGGATGGATTTTAGTGGCAGTTTTTAGTCAACACTTTTACATTTATTACGCGTTTGATTAAATGAACTGATTTTATTAATGTGGTTTCTAAAATCATAAAAGAATGAATCACAAATCGTATAAATTATTTACTGTATATAACATTTGAGACTCCAGTGGAAAGACAAAGCTTTGCTTCTACAAAAACCTGCATCGTCACCTCAATCCAAGCCTAATCATGATAAATTAATCAATTTATTAGCCAATTGGCTTAACTATCAAATATCGCTTACATTTATGAAACTTGAACAATGGTGACTCGGCGTAAATGATAGAAATTGAATTTCCGGCACCGCCATAAGGATTTTAGGACGGCTTTTAATCATCATCTTCGGCTTTTACGAGCTTTTGGCATGCAACGAATATATAAATATCCGCAGGCAGGATTCACTTTTTATGGGTGCAGCAGATGGGCACTTGGATGGCCTATTGGAAATGGTCAATTAAATTGATTTGGGCCATCAATTGTTGACCTTGCTGTTGACAAATCTGTTTTTCTGTGTTGTTTTTTTCTGCTTCTTCGTTTAATCGCCCGAGAAAATTGTATGGCACATCAAAATTGAAGCTACCCCCGAAACCGAAATGGGGGCGATAATCGATTTCTGAACGATTCCCTTGCCCCGAGGCTAATGGCGATGTTTTTGTTGTCGGCACATTGCCATATCGCCTTGTCTGGGGGAGAAGCCCCTTTGGCCTTGTCCGTGACATTGGGGAAAGTCGCTTACCTTGTGTGGAAATTATCCATGCCGCTGCCGCAGTAGAGCGGCGCAGTTTCATTGTTGCCACTGGCCATTGTTGCTATTGCAACTGCAGCAACTGTTGCAACTGCCGCTGGTCTTTTGTGATTGCTGGCTGTCACTCACTGTTGCAACTGGCTTTGCTGCCAAGGACAGCCGTGTAAAGCCCTCCCAGCAGATGCATTAATAATTAATTATCATCGGGCAGCTCCTGCAAATAGATAGACAAAGAGAGAGTGAGAGAGTGTAGAAGTTAGAGGGTCTATTGTCCAACATGACGTATAATTAATGCGAGTTGTAAATTGTTGCGTATACGGCCGTTACCCCATCAACTAATGTGATTAAATATTGCATGATGCACAGGATATTCTCGTTGTTATTGTTGTTCTGGCCGCGTAGTGGCTGCCCTAAGCCGATTAGCAAATGGCTGGCGAAATATATATATAGTTTGAGTCCGTGTTGGAAAATCGTGTGGATTTTCCTTCTATCCACTCCGTGCAACGCCTGCTGAGAAAGCTGCCTTGCAACTTAATTAGCAGTGTGAAAAAGTGCACTTAAGGCGGGGATAAATAAGGATGTTCAAGCCACGACTAGTTTGCTAGTCTCAGAAGATATTTAAGAGGAAATGAATAATGTGGATTAAGCGTGAGAGATTTTCGAAAAATACTTCTAAATTCAACTTATTTTCTACTGCTAGATATTTTAATTTACTTATTTTTCTCACCAAGTTCTGAACTCAGCCCTTAGGAAACCCCAAGAAACGTACTCCAGCTGACCCATGAATAAACTAACTCAACCCAGGGCTAGGTTCATAAAGAAAGCTGAACGAGATCAAGACGAACAGCATCCGAGTGGGGAATATAAAATATGTGTAGCCATCCCGCGGTCTAAATTAGATTTGTATGGCTGGAGCGTGGCCCGAGATAAATGCCATTTATTCATTTATTTTCCACATTCTTTTTCAAGCGAATCTTTTTAGTTCGCCTTGTCCATGCCGTTCCTCTCGGACGTGGGCAATATGTTATCTGTCGCCTCCTCCTGGTTTCCCTCGAAAAACTACTCCTGCGTGCCTGCTGCAACAATTTCTTTGCGCAAAGATTTTAATTGCATTTGTTAGGCAGCTGCAGTTGGCAGTGGAAAAGCATTGTGAAAGCACTGGAAAAGCGGCCGAGAGGGGGTCAATGTGGCTGCAATTAACACGTTCCATGAGGCACAGAAACCGCAAAGCCAGCAGACTGCTTAAATATGCATAGACGGCAACACAGACGCAGATACTGGAGGGGGAAATGCGGTGGCAAAGCGGCGGAAATTTACGGAGAACGAGCAGCTAATGTGTAGGAAGCTTAGTAATTTGATTTGCAAATTTCCATTTTCTTTGCATTATTCTTGTGCTATTTTTTTTTGGCTGCTTGTAAATGAACCAAAGGTTAATTTATCCGGGCAAATGAAGTACTCAAGTGGCAGGAATTGAATTTATTCAGCCGCCCTTCTGGCCAAGTTTGGCCACATCAAATGGCGCTGAAATTAATTGATTGATGATTCGCTCCGTTTGACTGATGTAATTGTTGTTCCCATTATTATGACACAATACAAATGGCTAAGAAATATTAATTAAAATCGTGCCGGGCCATAATTCGATTATATAAATTAATTGCCGCTTGATGAGCGCCGTTATGCAAGACTATGCCACGCAATCCTCATGGTTTATTCGATACAAACTGCTGCTGCCCAGCGGAAATAATTTTGTATTAATTGCGAATATATAGTGGCCATATACGGCCGGATGATTGCTCTGTTTATCACCAGTGTGTGGCTCTGGATGTGTCGATGTGGTTGAGTGTGTCCTCGTGAGGTGACAAATGAAATGATTAATGAATGACAGCTGCCGGTTGCCCGCAGATGTATGCTATAATTTTTGCAAACAATAGCGAAGAATAATATGCCATTGCCATTTGTGGTTGCTACAGACAAAGTCTGACAGCTTAACAGATTACACGGGAAGGGAAAGGAGTGCAGCGAATGGCGATGGACCTCAGAGAACCTCAAGGGCTTTTCCCTGGAGGGAAAATATGGTCCTGCAATTTGTAAGAGAATTATGGCTAAGGAAAGAATAATTTTCTGAAAACATCATAAGATCTTCATATAAAGTAAAACAAAAGGACTCTTGTAAGGACTCTTATTTAGAGGCAAATTTCTCATTTAATATCTTCTTTTTCTAAGTGCAGCACATATTTACTTTCCGAACTTAATTTCGTCCATGAAAAGCAATCTAATGGCAGGCCTGAATAACATTTTCATTTTGGACACGGTCCGATGAGTTGGGGACCAACAATGAGAGCGTAAATAAGGCCATCATGTGGGTAAAAGGTGAAAGAGAGAAATTGAAATCAAAACTGATTTCCGCCCGGCAAGAGGGATGGATGTTCGATGGTCCGTGTGGTTGTGTGGTCCTGTGGGCATGGTGGCGTAGCCCCTCGTCTGATAAACCAGTTATGTCACGCCCATATTGCACAGATTCGTGCCACAAATCGCTGCAGAAGGAGCAGGCAACATCAGACAGCAGATATTCCCGTTGAAGAGAACATACACGTAAAGTAGCAGGGGACCCGGAAAATGGCCAGCAATCGCAGCAAAATGAAATTCAAGCTGCGGGAAATCCTCTTTCTGCTACAAGCCAGCATCGAGTTTTGCTATTCACCGCTGCTCAAAATAATATTTACTACATATTGATTATTGATTGATTGTTTTGCTACCCTGTTTACTTTTCCTTCGCCTGCTGTTTGTTTTACGCTCTTTTATTTGCATTTTCCTTCTTTTTCACGTAAGCAAACTTGTTATTCGCTTCTTGTTTGCTTTGCTTTTCTGCAGTGGCATTATTTTAAATTGTTTTCTAAATGGTTAGCCAAAAAGGAAAACAGGAAGTGCAAAATATCGAGAGGGGAAATAACCAGAAGTCATCCCCCATGCCCCAGCCCCTCGTCATGTGAAGATGGACAGCTGGAGTTGTTCTTCGAGTTGATCAAATTTAAGATAAGTGCTTTCGCCAGCCAAGTGGAAGGAATGCTTACCCACCAACAATTTGGCAAAGTAAACCTTAAAGTCAGTCTCAAAGATGACCAGGAATTTAATGAGGGCAAACTCTCGAGAACTCGGAAGAGGATGCAAGGGGAAAACAAAAAGATTAGAATTATAGTATGCCATTAGTGCGCGCTGCTTTTGAGTGTATGCAGCGTGTGTGTCATCAACAGGATCTCAAGTGCGTCGACGAAAGGATAATAGCCAAGGTCGCATGGGGTATGAGGACAGGGAAATTCTCAGCATCATCGTTTGATTTTACAGTGTGATAATACCATTACGCACTGGCTTTATATAATTTTTGATATTCTTAAAAAGAAGAAGAAAGTATGCTTATTTTTCAAGGATATGCTAGTACTAGTTAAACAGATTTTAATTAGTTTTCCACAAATCTAAAGCCAAACTTGAATCACATTTTCTTCAACTGCAGACCTAAGCTTTATGACAGACCTGCCACCCTCCTTGAGACTCTTTCAATTTGCACTTTTGCCGGATGTTTTTGGGGTTGGGGGGAAAGGGGATTCCCCGGCGAACTCTGTAACCCAACCGCTGGAGGGCTGCTGCTGCCGTTTGTCACGACGATGACTTGATGCCACGCCCACATGGACGCAAGTTGCCAGTCACGACAGCAGCCTGAAAAAACAGCATGTCTAGCCCGAGGAGTGGAATGGTGGTCCTGCGTGGTAGTACGAGCATAAATACAGTTACAATCTGTAAATATTTGTGTCAGGATGTCAGTCAGTCTGACTTCCCTACAAATATCCTGTCAAAGTTTTGTTTCGCTACACTCCGTGTTTTTCTTTTACCACTTGTTCTCGAGAAAGTTTTCGCCCAAAAGAAAGAAAATCAGTTTTTGTCGATGTAATTAGACGACATGCAAGGCTCGTTGCCATAATTTCAGCACGTTACCCATACGCACAGGTGGCGGGCCACCCACAAAACCACGACCTTGTAATACACACGCTGCGCAGGCATAATTCAAATGTCATCCAGTTGTCATTGTTCGTTTGGCAAATTGCTCGCCTCCGCAGAAGAAAATTCCACAGAAATTCGACTGTATTCTGGCTTTATTTCAGCTCTGTCGCCTGTTGACTGGAATTTGTGTATCAAGCATACGTCATGTAGTCATGTCTGAACGAGTAATTCGGCAGAAACAACAAGCTGGGCGGGCGTCTTGGCAAAAAAATGGGAGACACCTAGGGCTGGGTAAGCTTCGGGGCTAATTTTGGTCTCAAAGAGTTTTAAGTATGCAAAGCAGGCAAATTCGCAGACGAAATTGAATTCTGTCTACGGGGAATCAATTGTTCTATAAATGCGACTTAGACTCGAGTAGGCAGATCATGCGGTTCCGTCGTATAAATAGACAATGGTCGTATTAATCACATCAAATGGTAAGCTGGCTAGAGTGGCTAAGCTGCTTACCTTAGGATTTGGCAGAGTTGAATTTTAAGCCAGCTTCGTGTAATTAATTCCATTGTTTTGGCCAGCCAACCACTAACCCCAAAACAAAAGTAAGCTTATCAATGCAATTACACATGAGTTCATATCGCACTCAGCCCTCTAATGTTTGGACACAGACTCGGTTTGTTGGCATTTCAAGCAGCCAGATGAAACGAACCTCAAAGAGATATCTCGCCCAGAATGTGATGCATATTTCGGGCCAAATTGAAACGTGTTGGCTGGCAGACCAGCAATTTGTTGCCCAAAACTTTCGAACATGTGCAAATAGTTTCGGGGGGGGACACTGCAAGTGTGTGCTTGTGTGTTTAGTTTCACTTTAGCAACTTGAAACAATGCTCCCCTTAATTGAGTGGCAAAGTGCCGAAGCTGATGGTGACGAAGGTGGCAACGAGGCACAGAATGGACCTTTGATTGTCAGCAATTTGGTTTTGGTAATTGCCTATCTATTTCATGGTCCTGCCAGCCAAGTTATTAACTAAGTGAACACCCATTTCAATAAGCACAAATCAAGCGTGAACCACGTGTTCCCAGCAGTAAAAATTACCTGCCCTGAACTTGGATTTTGTGCGCTGATAATGTGTTAAACAGTCGCGGGTAGAATAATAGCATTAAAAATCGAATGTCTCTGTTCTTGGTTCTATTACTTAACATTTAAATCTTCTCTTAACTTAGTAA